GGGGGGGGGGGGAGGGGGGGGGCAGGTGTACCGTCCCACCACAATCGTCATTCAAAGCTCGCAATTGTGCTTTCTCAGCGCATCACCATCCGCCGCTTGCTCTCCCCGCTCGAGGACCGGCTGCTGCCGCCGCCGCCGCTGCCGCCCGCCGCAAACATCTTCTTGTAGGCCGACACCGTCGAATCCTTCTTGGCGCCGGCTGCCGCCGCCGCGGGGTCGGCTGTCGTCGCCCCGAGCTCTCTCGGAGTGATCGCGGCAGCGGCTGCCGCCGCCGCCTCCGCACTAACCTCCAAGACACGGCCGCCGCCGCCGCCGCGTCTCCCCGCCGTCGCCGTCGCCGCCCGCGCCCCGGTGGCCTCCTCCTCCCCTTTCCGCTCGGCGACGATCGTCGCGCTAAGTGGCCCGGCGCCGCGCTGGCGGGAGGGCGGCCAGTCCGTGTCGGACTCGCTGCAAGACCCGCTGGTGTCGTTCCGGAAGCTGTAGCTGCTGCTCCGCTGGCTGTAGGCATCGTCCCCGCCCCTGCCGCCGCCGGCCCTGCCGCCGCCGTAGGCGGTGCTTGTCGTCGTGGCGGTGGCGTAGCTCGACACGCTGACGGCGCTGAAGGTGCTGTCGGTGTCGAAGCTGGCCTGGGAGACGCTATCCCCGCCGCCTGTTGCCGAAGAGCCTTGGTACGACGGGGAGAGAGACTCCCCCGACAGGCTGGAGGAGTCCGACTCCTGGCGCCGGTAGGACCCCGACGGCCTGCTCGGGTCGGCGAGGTGCTGCTCGTCATCGCAACGCCGTCGTCGTTTGTTGTTATTGTCGTCGCCGTTGTTCGAAGAAGTGGTAGTAACGAAAGGGGTGTTGTCGTCATCGTTGTCGCCATCGTTGTCGTCGTCGTCGTGTTCAAGAAGAAGTGGTATTCCAAAGAAAAGGTGGGGGCAACATCACGGGGAAGGGACCAAAAAAAGGGAGGGGGGTCGGTGTCGGTGGATGAGGTCGGTTTGGTGGAACGCAAAAGAAAAAAAAAATGAATAAAGAAGGTGCCCGAGAGAAACAAGTGGATGCATGTGGGCGAACCATGCCGCCACACCACGGACACATGGAAAAAAAAAACACGTTGACGATGACATGAGAAAGCAACGCAACAACAAATGCCAGTCCAACCAATAAAACCCGCAGTATATGTGCCACAATCGTTCCACGAGAACTGGCGGCCACGCACCTGTCGAAGCCCTCCCATTCTGCTACTGCCGTCGCCGTCGCTGTCGTAGTCGTCGTCGTCGTCGCCGTCGCTGTCGTACGCGAACGACACGCTTCGCGGCTTCTCCGCCGTGCTCCGGAACGAGCTTTCCTTCTTGAGGGCGGACTTGAGCTCCACCGCGCTGGTGCCCGTGCTCCAGCGGTTGCTGACGCCACCGCCGCCGGGCGGCCCCACGTCCGCCACGGCCGCGGCCGCGGCCGCCGCCGCTCCCGCCTGGATGGCCTTCCGGCGCACGTCGTCGGGCACCGCGCGCCCCTTGGTGGCCTTTGCCGCTGCCACCGCGCCCGCCGCCATCAGCTGTGCCTCCGTGGTCACCTCCCCGGACGCTACCGCCGCCCCCGCCGCCGCCGTCCCCGCCTCGATCGCGCGGTCCCGGCATTCCTCTGCCGCCACGATCGACGCCTGGTCGAGCCCCCGGGTGTCGTCCAGCACTCCCGCGGCGGCGACGGCCGCGGCGGCCGCCGAGGCGGCCCTTGCCGAGGAGGCCCCGCTGCTGCTGCCGCCGCCGCCGCTGCCGCCACCGCTGGACACGTACGCGTGGTGCGACTGGAACGAGGTGGACGGGACGAAGACGGGCGAGGGCAAGGAGCTAGCCTCAGACGAAGACCTGGAGAGCGACAGCGAGGACGCCATGCGCGTCCCGGCCATCATCTGCGGGGCCTTGGTTCTGGTAGCCGCCGCCGCCGCCGCCTCGGCCGCGGCCACCACCGCCGCCGCCTCAGCGTCTCTTGTTTTTGCATCGGTAGCGGCGGTGGTGG